GCAGTCAATCATTATAGTCCACTGGGTCACACTATGTCAAGTATTGTATCATGTCGCAGTTTCTGCACACACAGAATAGTCGATGTATAACAAAAGCAAGAAAAAGATCAAAATAATAATTTGTTTCATCAACCAACCATCTCTAAATTAGTATAAAGATATTATTATACATATCTTCACACTTTTTACGTGAGGTAGTGTTGATCAGTGAGTGACATTTGTTACCAGAAAGTCGCATGCTGACTGGTCAATGTTCTGGTCACATGTAACGTCAATGCCCGATTCTCGTTTTATTACGCGAACCGAAATACCTCTGCACCTAAGTCTTGTTTCCATAACAATCACTATTCATTCATACGTTGCTGTGTCACATGATTAAAACCGGCCGAGTGAATAATTCCTTTCCCTAATCATCGCAATAAATCCCCCTCACTTATAACTAACGCGACAAGTGCTAGTGGAATTTAATAGCTGTAATAAATGTTCCTGTAAGGATTCGTCAATTCTGTCGGAAATTCGCCGAGATTAGCTCCAAATCGCAATAACAGAACATATTTCATATCAGCCTCACAGTGTAGGTATTGTCCTAGCGAACCACATTCCGCTTTACACGTTCAAATTTAGTGTTCCGAATCCGAATTAATTTACCGTTGTTTACGATGTCAATAAATCTTCGTTTTACACTTATGGTTGTGGACGTTGAATAATTGCAATAATGGATTGAATGCTGTGTCCCTTTCAGACATGTTGTTACATGCTATAAATTCACCCAAGACAGTCTCCGATGAATACATTCAACGTATTGTTACTGCCTACTTTCTATTAACAAGGTCATCTTTAGAATCTTGGTTTAGGTTTTGCCTGCAAACTTCATGAATGTCGTCCCACAACACAATGCTTTTGACTTCAAACCGGCGTTTGTATACATGCCCACACGTGTTTTATTTAACCCAGTATACTGACACCCTGATCGTTCATTGCGCAACCGGCATGTCCCAGGAATACACCACGGATAGTTCAACTGTGTGACGCTATGAGTGCACCAAATATATCCATCGGCTTTGCGAGCTATTTGTACCCAACCACTGCCGATAACCAGACACGTCTGTTCATTTGGTCCTCGGAAGTCGAATATCTGCTGAATATCCTAACTTTAAGTTGCAATATCTCATTTACATTGGTGTTTATACTTTTGCTTATTTAAGGTATAGGACGAGTTTACGCTCTTATTGTTCGGACACTATCGTACCGTACCCTTGTCACGATGTACGTTGGATTCTGGCGGTGTCGCTGCTCTTCTCACTGCTATGTACATTTGGCGAAGGCGTATTCACGCATTTGACGAAAAACGGGGATGATAGTACGAATTCATTGTTATATACACCTCAATTAATCGCATTAATTAATGCAGTCGTTGCTGCACTATATTACCATTACATGGAGTACTGGGACAGACCTCGACTGATTTTTCTGCTAGTTATTTATTGGTTATATGCTGTGTCTGCGGACGTGGTTCGTCTAACCATGTTACGTCATCACGTAGGGCACTGGGATTACGTCTGCCTTCGACTTGATCTCATAGTTGTTAATATCCTGTTGTATGTGTGTTGTTTAGTGTTAGATTGTAATATCCTTTATGTAAAGGTGAGTTGAGTACTATTCATTCAAAATTCATTACCGAGCAATGTTCATTCATGCGTTCGTTCAATCATGATCATTCATTTATTTTTACTATAGCGACTTCATGTACGCATGTTTGGTTCACACGTCGTTGCAGTGTATTTTAGAATCAACAACTTGCATGTTTAAGGTAGAAATTATATACATATATTACAGGAATTTTATAAATAGATTGTTTACTAATTGTATCCAGTAATTGCAACTTTGCAAATCTCACTAGTAACCGCGAGACCCATCCCTGGTAATCACGTGATCGTGACTGCAGCGATTGCCTGGTTGCATGTTTATTTTGCCACGCCTGAGAGTTTATCATGATGGAGTTTGTCAGACTTTGTAAAAGGGAGGGCAGAAGTGAACCACGAGGAGTTATCTCAACTGACCGTTTTGATGAATAAAGCTTGGTTATCTGCAATAAACCAGTGTGTGATCTTTGAGGTGAAACCGTGGTACCTCCACGTGTAAGTGTCATCCGTACGCTCACCAGAATCCCCGCACCTGGACAATCGTCACGTAATGGAACCCAAATTACATCGACGCCAAGACACAGAGAAGAGAGACGACACCGCATTCGAAGACTAACATATTTACCCAAATAACACCGATGACACGATGTTGACAAGATGAAGACCCCGAAAAACCTAAAAAAATGATGAATATCGAATGGAACCGAACAACATCAGAAACAACGTGGCACAAAAAAATGAATTAAATATATCAATGAGAAGCACAAAAAAATCTTTCAACTGACGCATTGTAAAACAGATGAAAGAAGCTACGCCACGTAGAAACCACGAAATATTAGTATGTTATGCAAAAAACGCCGCTTAAGGTATGTAGGTCAATCTGTTGGCCGACCTACGATCTGAGTGTTGACAATGAGTACTTTGGAGACAGTAGCTTGTCAACTTCTCCATCATTTAATTAAACACTAACATACGGAGTCAACTCGTACCGTAAGCGAATGAGTCAAAGCAATAATAGATATTCTTCATTCTAATAATATTGTAAAGAGTGTCTGCAAATAAATTAATAATATTAGTTTAAGAACTCCTCTGTTGTACGATATATATATTCAGCTAAAATCATACTTTATGTTTCTTTACTTGAAAGAAAATGTGTGAATAGATTTTTACTGACTTTCATCTTCGACGAAATTTTGGTTTTATTTTTAAATTCATAAAATTACTTAACAAAGTAAAGTAAGTGTTATTGATTTGACTTTTTTTTTCTACTAAGATGTTTTTTTAACTATCTGTGTTTTATATTATTTGTTAAATTTTGTTCTAGGTAAGCCTGTTTTGTTAGATGTTTAGCAAGTATTTAATGGCCTCTATTTTTGCACATTGAAAAAGTGGATATTGGCCCATCTCATCCCGTGGTGCTATGTCACAGGTCTTTTTATTCACTTGCAAAATGAGTTAATTAATTTTTCCTGTTGTTGTTTTGTTCCATTTAATATTGCCATTAATATCTAATACCCATTTCTCTGATTCATAAAGTAAAATGGGTTTGATATGATTTTTAAGTATTTTTATTTTTAGTTCAATGCCTATTTCCTAGTATCACTTTACTCATAATTGATTTAGCGGCTTTACTTATCTAGTGTGACATAGCATCATTGAATCTCCAATTTGATTTAATAAGAGTTCCTAGATAATTATAACTATTTGCTATTTTGATTTGATTGTTCCAATAAATAAAAATGGTATTGTTTCCTCAATGAAACAGAAAATGACAACTTTTGACAGATTTACTGCCAGTTTCCACTTTGAACAATACTCATTCAGTGTAATTAATATTGTCTTGAGACCAGCGTGGAAGGTGTAGATAAGTGCTAGATCGTCAGTATAAAATGTTCTAGGACGTACACCACTGTCGGTGAAAATAACTAAAGTCGAGGAAACAGCACAAACTTAATCCTGAGCAACTAAATGTATTTATATTCCACATGTATTCAACAACTATCCCAAAGTACAGTTTTCTGAACGTTGTTGGCCTCTGTTTTCACTGTGGTATTTGCCAGGCGGTGAAAAATATGGATGTCCGCTCTTAGAAATTTGAATGACATTAAATTTGATTGTACAAACACACTCAGGTAGCAGGCGTAAATGTGATAATTAAGTAAATGTGATCAATTTATACAAATCTATACACTCATATTGGACGCCGCAATCGACACCTTCCCGATTCGTCACTAGTTATAACTCAATTGTTTTGTTTTTTGCATGGTTTCAAGATTTTTCGTCCAGGGGGCTCTGATGAACACCACGGTATCTCAGAAAAACATGACATGTACTATAACTACAATTATACAAACTTCTTGTCAAGACGTTCGTTCTGGTTTTTGAATTGGTTGCTGGCTCTTGGAAATAAACGACCATTGGAAATGTGTGACCTGGGTTCCTTACCAGAAGACTGTGAATGCAATTATCAATATAGGAAATTTGAAAAAGCATACGAATCTGAAAAGGTGAGATAACTCCACATTCAAGCTATTTGATTTCTCCCAGGTCTAATCTTGATGAAAATGTATTGTGCCGCAAGTCGAGTGCGTCGATTGGCGATAAATGTGATATTTATTTGCATGTGGTTATCGTCAGGATTAGGTTGGGTTAATCGTTAGAGCATGGGCTAACCTTGCAGGTTTAGAGAGGTGATATTGATTTTCATATTTCGTTTTAGCGTGAAAAATCACTAATATGATTATAATATCAAATTGATTTGATGTACATATCACATCACACCGCGCCACATTTTCGTTATACTACATACCAACCATACTAATTTCACTTTCTTTATTGCAGCGTACAGCACATGAAAAGGGTCATGCTCCTTCACTTGTCGGAACTTACATGAAAACGTACGGCTACAAAAGCTGTATCGCGACTACTTACAAAATTGTAGTCGATTCGTTGGCTGCCACTCAACCTCTTATTATTGCTGGCATTGTCACGTATGCCACGGATTGCTATTATGAAAGAATACCAGAATCGGAAATAGTGAGTTGTATATATACGTGTTTCACTTTCATCAAACAAATGTACTTGTAAAAGTTTTAAGAAAAAATACGGTATACTATAAAGCATATGCAGCGATATAATTAGAGGGCGTGTGCCTTTAAAACCAGTGTTTAAAACCAGTGGTTTCCCGGGGCAAGTAATTGGGGTTGGTAGATAATCAAAGTGGTCTTAAAATCATACCAAATGAGAACTTGAACAAAAAACTGTCGTTTTTAATCTATAAAGAATAGAATTGATTTATGAAAAATAACATTTTAATATGTACAAAATTTAACAGATCAAGCCATAAGGGAGATTCAAAGCTGAACTAGAATCAGCCGAAAATTATCAACAATTTCTGGAAATTAATTAATTGGCACACTCGCGTACACTCGCGTCGATGTGATAGAATTGGGAATAAATATTATGAAGAGCTTGTAAACCTTTGACAGGACTGGTGACTTTAGTCTAGTACGTTATTTTACTGAATGTTAAACATTTCTCAACCGTTCGTTGATGTTACAGACATAACATGACGTCAGTAAATATCGGTAAAAAGTGCGCCCTCCCAAGACAGTGTTCTTGCATCTATCACTTCATGTTAAGAATGTATATTTCAATGTAAAAAAAGATGTTTATTACAGGACACAATTCAATGTCAACGAATTAACGTACAGCACCGACGTACATTAGTAATACAGTTTGCAATTTGTTGTAGGAAAACTAGTCATTCATTGTGAATATGAAACAACCAAACTACAACGAATCTGAACAAGGCAAACAAGGCGTACACAATAAGTTACTTTTTACTTTTGTTATTCTCATCACTATGGAAAATTAAAATTTAATTTGTTAATCTTCAGATAATTCCTTATGTAACAGTGTATGAATTCTTTAGCAACGGCTTCATTCTCGTCATTGTCCTACTGGCTGCCCAGGTCGTTAGAACGTTCTTGTGGAATGCGGCACTCACGCTCGGATTGTTGCAAGGTATACATGCAAAGACAGCGTTACAGGTAAATACTAGTACTTCGGTTAAATTTAAGTGTATTGATAACAGTGGTTATGTCGTAAGAGTTCCCAAAGTTAAGTTCTGGTTAAATAATGTCAAGCTGTTGTGGCTGTGGTCACCTCGTATTACACAGAAAAATACGTACTGTCAACAGAATAAACAGCGCAGCAATGCGTCTTTTATGCATATGAAACAGTTATTCAACTTGAGTAACACAAACTATTCTGAAACAGCATCATTAGTTTACATGAAATATATCACGTAATACCTATGACGTAAAATCTTTTTATTGTATACAGGCTCACGTCTACAACAAAACACTGCGTCTAATGACATATACGCTATCTGGTGACATCACAGTTGGAGAGATCACAAATCACTTTTCTACCGATGTTACCGCCATGCAGTGTTTTTTTCAATATGATTTCAGCTTGTATTCTCTTCCCTACCAGGTGAGCATATTACTTAAACGTGTTGTACCGTGATTAAACTGCATCAATCTAAATCTTGTGGTGAATATATAATAATAGTGACACACCTGGGTTTTTTCGAAGTTAATTTCGAAACCGAATACAAGAAGTGTTCTATAACATAAAAAAATAATTAAACTATCTTTGCAATCTATTCAGATTAACGAGAATCTGTTTTTTGATTGGTTGTTTCCATTGTGACGTATACTGAACTTGTACAGTTTAGTTTTACAATGAAATGTATAGTTGTTTCAGAATTTACCATTATTGAGCATTTTTGTTTCACACTACGTCAACGTGTTGTTGAACTTTGTAATCACTACGTGTGATCCTTAATGGGCTGAGGTATATTAATTTAAATAGACATGTATGATTTAGTTAACGATATACTTGCGATCGTTCGTTTTTTATTTCAATTTCAGTTTACATTGATAATGGTTGTATTATATTTTGAAGTGGGTATTGCAGCACTTTTGGGGTTTTCTGTATTTCTTATTACAGTTCCCATAGAGTGTTTTATAATAAGAATAGTGGCAGATCTACAAAGGAACACATTGGTAATGAATGAATCACGTTTTTTTCCTGATATTTCAGGCATTATTTCCATTTTATTATTTATGAAACATGGACATGCTAGCCTGTTTTCGAACGTAATCCGGTCATGAACAAGTGAACTAATTTATTTCGAAATTTATATTAGCAATAATGCATATATTTAGAATCACGCCATGGTGTATTTAACCTGGAACCCCTGGATATTTAGGAGGGAATATTCGGTACTGCCATCCAAAATCAAATCCGTTGTTTTGACTACAGATTGTTGTCAAAAGCCACACTATGTTTTGTATGTTTCCAGAAACACGCAGATTCGCGACTGGGAAGAACAAATGAACTGTTGAACAAAATAAAACTACTAAAGCTTAATGGTTGGGAAGATCTTTTCATATCAATTATTGGGGTTACCCGTTCACGCGAAGTCAAAGAAATAATGAAAGGGACGATTTTTAAGATATTTACAAGTTAGTAATTTACGTGGGTTAGACAAATGTCATTGTGTATTATAATTCATATACCACCATTACGTGCATATTTTATGCCCCAGAGATGAAATCGCCAACAGTAATATTGATTTCAATAGACAATACACAATATAAATATTGTGGCGTGTGTTCTATTTTATTAATGTGGGTCATTCAATTCATTTAGGTATGGGGTGAGATGATGTTGACTAACCGACTTGATAACGTGTCACTGTGTTTTTAGTCCGATCTATATTTTATTACGATCGAAACAAAACTTTAAAACCTTCATCTGCTTTGATTCCAGCATTTGAGGTGCAGGTCACACCAATTATATTCGCAATCGTAGTAAGTAACAGTTATTAATCAATATGACATTTAGATTATAGAATTAATTACTCACTAAACGAATTTAAACTGGAATGAGATAAGAGCAAGTTAATGTTAGCGTTTGTTTTTTTGTAGACATTCACCTCATATTCGCTTTTAAACGAATCCCCACTCACGCCGCGGATTGTGTTCGCATCACTAACATGCATGCACATGTTAAGTCTTCCAATGGCAAATATGGCGGACTATGGGAAGGTGTTATCAGACGCAATTGCAAGCACACGCCGTTTGCAAGCCTTTTTCGCTGTCGATGAGATACACGAATATCCGACAGGTAGACCACCTCTAATTAACGGATACCGGTTGGAATACAATAGAGATTCAGGAAGACTTAAAACCCAGGTATAGATCTCGGTAATAGTATTTATTTATTTATTTATGTATGTCTGTCTGTCTGTCTGTCTGTCTGTCGATCGATCGATCGATCGATCGATCGATCGATCGATCGATCTATCTATCTATCTATCTATCTATTTATTTATTTATTTATTTATTTATTTATTTATTTATTTATTTATTTATTTATTTATTTATTTATTTATTTATTTATTTATTTATTTATTTATTTATTTATTTATTTATTTATTTATTTATTTATTTATTTATTTATTTAGAAACAAAATAACGATAGTGTCAAAATGGAGATGGTAAAGCTGATGGGTACCAATGAGAACTCAGACGCCATCAATCTCATCAATGTTGCAAAATATGATACATTCAGTGCGCGTTCAAATGGATATCATTCGACATACATCGTAGACCATCTTGCATTAAAGGTAGGGCTTCTGGTATTTTGCGTAAAAAAATTAAAGGCAAAACAAACTTTATTTCCGCGATAGTCATAGTGGTTTTACATATCAATAGATATAACACGATGATGTAATAATGTGAACAACAACACTTCAAAACACTCGAAAGGGCAATACGTACAATATTTAGCCATTTTTTTTCATAAATACACATATCAATCTATTTCTGTATTCGCCAAATGGTGATTACCTGTATCCAATGCATAGACATAACAATCACCCACCTTGCGGAGGTTTGATAGTACTGTTCTTCAGGCCCTATATGATGAGTAGTTACTGATTGATTTATCTATGTCATTGCAACATATTTTATTGTTTTTCTCTTGTACACATAGGTCATAATTGGAGAAACATGTGGGCTCGTAAATAAATTAATAAAAGTAAAAGTACTTGATTATATTTGCAATCCCGTATTCCATTCTTATGCATTGCATTTCTGTAACAGATAATTAATGGATCCTTTGCTTGGAGGCGTCATGAAACTGTCCCGACACTGAAAAATATCAACATTGAAATTATGAGGGGTAAGTCAACAAGATGAGGACAAGATGATAACAGAAACATTTTAAAATTTATTTGGATATTTACTTAGTACTATGCTTATTTTTTTAAATTATTTTAGGAACTTTAGTTATGATAATCGGTTGTGTTGGTTCTGGAAAATCATCATTACTGTCGGCTATTTTAGGTGAGATGTTACTTGTAGCCGGGGAAGTGCGATTTCATAGGTGGGTATACTCCTTTTACTTTCACATGGGCCGATACTAATTGTCGTAAATACTCTTATTATACACCTGTCACCGTAAAGCCATAAGTTACAGCGTGCCGGAATTTTGCGGTATTTTACGGGGTATTTTCATCCTATCATATAAGAAAATGAGAATTCCAAATATGGAATGATTACGCGCGCAAGCGCCCTCTAATAATAAAAACAAACATGGCCGCCACCAGGGGTTGACCGGACTCCACACAAAGTTGATTCTGTTCTAAACCTTTTGGATTTCGCATTCCCATGATGTATCCTAGGAAGGAAAAGATGTGTTTTAATAAGGTTATTACGAGAATTCCTCAAAGTATTAACTCAGACAGTACGCCGTCGCATCGACCTCCGCTGCGCGTCGGACAATACTCCAGCTGTACTGTCTTCGTGCATACTTTGAGGTATTCTTGTAATAACCTCATGTTATGTTGCTTTATAACTCTATTTCTTACCTTAATTGTAATATATTCTTACATGTATTAACAATAGTCTTTGATGTAGTTGGGACGATTGTTCTTTCACTTTTTTCACTTTTTATATATATTTAATTTTACTATTTTTTATGAACACAAATTTTTCTTACAATAAATCATAACAAATGTATAGACAGGAAAACCTAAGTTCACAGCTGTCACAATACCAACGTGTGATTTACCAGAATGTGATCGTTTACATTATTTTTTCTATTTATAGGGACAGGAACAGCCTATCTTATACGGCGCAGCGACAGTGGATACTAAATAATACAGTTAAGGAAAATATAATATTTGGAGCAGAGTTTCAGTTTGATAGGTATAGTATTAACTACAATGAAAACAGAGATGCAACATTCTTTATATATGCAGCATTCGCCATTACAATCTAAACAGCCATTACCACTGTTTTTATACATCGTGTCATTTGTTGTTTCAGTAATTGAACCATCCTATTGTGGCAAACAAGCCATCCATGCAGGTCAAATTAATTGGATTGTAAACAGTCTTGGGCGAAAAATAGCGAAGGCAGGATTAATTATCTAGGTCACTATGGGTGCATGTTAATTGGATAATCTGTAGTATGTTCAATACAACACAATAAGTGGTTGTATTTGTTTGTTGTAATGATGGTTTACTAACACTATAAGGCTAAATTATGTATCAAATATTATTCCGATGCAACATATTTATTTGCACATGAATACGATGCTTGACCCAAAACCTCGTCGCATTCTCCACTCCAGTGTTACAAAATATGTTTAATTTAAATGTTACCATTTTGATGTCGACAAAACTGATATGTTGCGTTGCCTAAAGTCAGTCTATGCAATATTTTTGTTTCCAGATATCAGACTGTACTTGGCGTGACTGGCCTTCAACATGATATATCAAATCTGCCAGCTGGTGATATGACTGAGATTGGTGAGAAAGGTATAAATCTCAGTGGAGGACAGAAACAACGCCTGTGCCTTGCGAGAGCTCTTTATCGCAAAACAGACATAGTAGTGTTGGTACGTTTCATTGCTGAACTCTATTATGAAAACCTTTTCAGTTGGATTTTATAGAAATTGCACAATTTGTTTTGTTTTCCGGATTAGTTTTTATCAATATTCGGTATATTGTAAATTATTACAATTAAGCACCTCCTAATTACTAGAAAGTCAGCGGTTTGAGTTTTTTCTCATAAAGTATAATTTTTAATTTCTAGGATGATCCTTTGTCAGCGTTAGATGGCCACGTGAGTTCACACATTATGGTGAATGGTATAGTAGGTTTTCTACGGCAAGAAAACCGAACAGTACTTCTCGTTACCAATCATGTCCGTTATTTACACTATGCAGATCAGGTATGTACAAATTAATGTGGCCACTATGACAAAACACATATATAAGAAATATTATTTAGTGCATGCCTTATATTATCTGTATGTATCGACATTTTACAATTAAATAATTTCACTTCAAACGTACTTTAAGAGACCGGTAATTGTTACACCAATTCGACAATGTTAATAACTACCCGTTGAATAGTCATTCACCCTAAATCTACAGCATTTCCATGAGACCATGAACATTAGCTAATCGGCCAAAGGAATGGCAACGGTTCTATTTTGTGCGAAACCATACTGGCCATTGCCAAGTAGAATTAAATGTGTAGCATATCACACCAATCGGAAGATCTTTGGATTAATCACATCTCCAAAAATCAAAATAATTTAATTTAGTCCAATTTACAGAAACTATTTTTGATAATTGAACCGGAAATGGATTAGAACTAGTTGTGTCGGTTTTTACTACGTATTCTTTAGGTTGTTGTTATGGAGAGTGGCACTATTGTGAGACAGGGTGATTTGAATGATATAAAAGCGAATCACTCAGTAATCTATCCAGAATGGGCTAAGTGTATAAGCGCAATCAGCGATTCGGAGAAGGAAAACGAATCCCCGGATGAAGCTGAGCATGAATATAACAAAGTGAAAAAACAAATACCAGAAGAAAAATGCGACCACGGCGAAGGTAAGAGTATTATGTCGAATTTGGTAGAAAAGACGTTTAAACTTGTTTGTGCACGAAGGTGGTACAATGGCCTTATTTAAACCTGTGTAAATGTGTAAATACTTTCTGTTAGTTTTCAGGAATTCGGGCGCATTGATAGCTCAAGAAGAGAGGCAAAATGGCTCAGTGTCTTGGCATGTTTACCTTGCATATGCAAAGGCGGTGACATATCCAGCAGTTTGTTTAATACTGATTCTATTTGCTGTACAAGGCATTGTTTTGATTATATCCAATTTTTGGTTAGCTAACTGGTCCGAAACAGGGGTAAATAAAGCAAATGTAACACAGGTAAACACACATCATTTTGTTATATCCGGGGAGGACGATGGCCGTCTCTGTGAAGTAAATATCGATAAATTATTCACATTTATTATATTACAATTTGTACACCCGTTGGCTGTGAGTAATATATGTTCATATCTAATGTGGTATCTAATATTGCACATGCGCGAATAATAATATCTTTCCTTTATTTTTTGTTTCTAGGAAATTAGAACCAGAGAATTCAAGTATTACCTAACTGGTTACGCAGTGTTGTGTGTTATTTATTTCGGATTTGCGTTTCTGGCTTCCACATGTCAGATGTTATTATCAGTTAAAGCTGCATTACGCCTACATCGTTCCCTACTTTACAACATTGTCCATGCACCGATGAGATTTTTCGATACAACGCCAATTGGACGAATACTGAACCGTTTTTCAAGTGATATACAAATTATTGACCAGGTATATAATAAAACTTGTAGGTATATATTAATACATTGCAGTTTGAGGACCACCGCCCTATATGGTATTGCAAAGTGAATATATGTATGTTTTAATTTATATGTAATTAAATTTCTATATGCATCTTATTTCTCTCCACAGCGGCTATGGATGACCTTCAATTCTTTATGTTTACGAATACTTCCTTTAGTATCTGCTGCTATAGTGAATTCTATAGTTATGCCAGTTGTTATAGCTGTCTTTGTTCCAATGATTGTATTGTATCTCGGCGTTCTACGATACTATATCAAATCTTTAAGGTAAACCTGCACATTGATAAGCCAATAATATGCGTTAGATTGTTTTATTTTCTTATTTGATGCCAGTCATCTTCTAGAAATAACTTACATGTATGTTTTATTGTAGAGAACTCCAACGTCTGAATAGTATATATAGATCACCAGTCTTTGAGATATTTTCAGAAACGCTAGGGGATTTACCATCTATAAGGGCCTATAGGTTCGTAGTATGTTTTCATTTTTAAAATATGTATTTGTTTATTTGATGACATTTTTCATGTTTTAGTAAATGTGAAATACTACAAAATAAGAAGTTTGTGATAAAACAACAAAAAATAACAGATTTCATCTCCCCTCTATCCTCTTCGTGCCTCCGGGAACATAGGGGCATAACGCTTGTCTTCCAGTTCTGTCTTGTTTTATTCTCCTGACCTCATTCCAAGTTTTCCATCCACCCAACTTTCTTTCCTTTTCCACTGTTCTCCATGTTGTTTTAGGCCTGCCCACCTTCCTTTTTTCCATCTTCATGCTATGTCAAAGCAATCATACAATGGTGATTGCTTGGCATGTTCATACCATGTCCTATCCATTTCTATCTTCTTTGTCTGGCCCCTTGACTTATCCTTAATGTATTAGTCTGATTGTGAAGTTCAACTATTGAGATGATGTTTGGAAAGAATATTTGCAGTGCTTCCTTCAAACACTGGTATTGAAAGGAGTCGAATTTATTCTCATCAGTTTTATTTATCTTCCATGTTTCACAGCCATAACGGAGTGCAGGTCTGATAATGGTTTATATTGCTTGTAAATGTCACTCTAGCTAGCTTCTCTGAAATTCCATTTTGCCTCAATTACATCGTCTTGTGGTACTGCTTCTAGTACTGCAAATTTGTTTTTGTGTTTAATTGAAAACTCATTCTGTAGTTTGCTGGTATCGTATTTCATTTTTGGATTTTTATTCTTGCCTTGTTTTTTATGTTTAAGTTTTATCAGAACTTGGTCAATTTGGTTATGAGTTCTTTTATCAGGTGATGTCCAAGTATTTCTGTGTATGTCCTTGTGCGGGAACAATGTGCATGTGATAACGAATTTGTTAAGAAGTTAATTAATCTTTCACTATTGTTGTTGACAATGCCAGATTTAGTGAAAATAAAATAAAATATATGAAATAAAAACAAATACACACCAAACCTCAAACTATAATACATTTTTATATTGAAGGGTTGATGGGCGTTTAAAACAGCGATTTGTTGAAAGGGTCAATGAAAACAACGTGACTATGTTGTATTTACAAAGTTGTGCAATATGGGCTAAAATAAGATTGGTGAGTATATCATTACATGTAAATTATATATGCAAATTACCGCCGAAATCTCACTGGTGTCATCTTCGATAATTCGCTTCAGTTCAGTAAACACATCATCAGTACATGCCAGAGCATATACATGCATATCAGACGCATGGGACTCATTCACCAACATCTATCTGAGCATACCTGTCTTAAACTCATTCACTCTATTATAACCGCTAAACTGGATTACAGCAATGCCTTACTCTATGGCTTACCAAATTCACAGATACACCTGCTTTAGAGGGCTCAAAATTGTGCTGCCCGTTTAATTACACGTATCAAAAAATTTGATCATATCACTCCTATTCTTCGTAAATTACATTGGCTGTCAGTTCACTATAGGATACAATTCAAAATGTTACTACTCACGTACAAGTCACTGCATGGTTTGACACCATCCTACATATCGGACATTATTCACACAAAATCAAAACCAGAGAACCATTCGCTCAAGTAAGAAACCTACACTTGCCGCATCTAGAAGACATCTCAAGAATTATGGTGACCGGTCATTCGCCCATTCCTCACCGTCTTTATGGAATCAATTATCAAATGACATCTGTTCTGCACCAAATGTTAACATCTTCAAAACCAAACTCAAATCTTATCTTTTTCAGTAAGCCTATCTGTGAAACTAAGCGTCATTGAGCATCACTGCGATGGATACTAGGCGCTATATAAACTTGTATTTATTATTATTATTGTTTATCTGACTAATTACCAGTAACTTCTATTATGAACATCGGATACGCAACCAATCAGGGTTTTTGTTACATACCACATACTATAATAGTACGCGTCCACTGCCCCACATACCATAGTTACAGAGAAAGGGGAACAATGGACGCCATGACTGAAGAGAATGGTATACTATTTATAAAGCAAAAATACATGTGTGGCTCTCACGCATTCAACAAGATCTCGACACGTCGTGTGGCTCTCACGCTTTCAATGACATCTCGACACGTCGTGTGGCTCTCACGCTTTCAACGAGATCTCGACACGTCGTGTGGCTCTCACGCTTTCAACGAGATCTCGACACGTCATGTGGCTCTCACACTTTCAAAGAGATCTCAACACGTCGTGTGGCTCTCACGCATTCAACGAGATCTCGACACGTCGTGTGGCTCTCACGCTTTCAACGAGATCTCGATACGTCGTGTGGCTCTCACGCTTTCAACGACCACCATCTGACCACGTTTTGTGGATTAAAGTAGATAAGCAAATCTTAGGTTATGATTTTATTATTGGTTCTGTATATATCCCACACGAAGGATCTAAATACTATGATAATGAATTATTTGACAATATCGCAGATGATCTGATTAATATTAAGTGTTTATACGATTTGCCGACTTTATTGGTTGGAGATCATAATGCTAAAACTGGTTTGTTAGACGATTTTTTTAAATGCTGATCACTTTGGTATTATAGCCATTGAAGAAAATGGTGATATCTGTAATACAAAATTTGACATGGAGTCACTAGGCTTATGTACTGATAGATACAGCTGTGATAAATCGACAAATAACAATGGGTATAAACTTGTTGAATTATGTAAAAGTTTAGATATCCATATTGTGAATGGACGTATTGGGGATGACCTTGGATGTGGCAATTTAACCTGTGCTGATTCGAGTTTGGTAGATTATATACTTGCCTCACCTCAGTTGTTTATAAA